CCAAGAGCTGGTTTGGGCTACCCATTAGGTGGACATTGCTCTTTTCAACCGCTGAGGAGGTGCTTCTGCTCGAGGCAGAAAGGAGAGGTGTTCTGAAGACTGCTCATCAATCCACTTGATGATAGCATTACTGGTTATGACTTTAACCCTAACCTTCCTCAATCCTCCAACAGGTGAAGGATTCAGGAGGGTTAGGGTTAAGTTCAAGGAGGGCTGCAACAAACTAGTGAAATGATCACATGAGGGAGTGTCTGACTTCTTTGTATTTTTTTATCGTAGCAGAGATGTCTTCAGTAGTCCTCACTACCATCGTTGTTGCCCTGATGCTGGCCGTCATGCCTGGTGCACTGCATGCTGTGCGTGGACCATTCCAGGCAATGTTTGCCGCCAACCCACCGGCGCATGCCGACATGACTGGGGTGGATCCGGGACAGCCCCTGTTCCTGACGCCCTACATAGAGCGGGGTCAAATCCAGGAAGGTAAACCCCGAGTCTTGATACCCGGTTTCGCATCACACATACCGTCTTACCATTTACCGTGCACTTTTGGAAACATTTAAAATTGTCCATGCCTTCCTAATAATGCAAAATCATTATGTTTTTTTTTTCCTCGTAAAATTGTGAAAGCAAAATAATTTGCTCGTTGCAAACTTTTCTCAGAAAGGGTTGCTCATCAGTTTATTGCCATGCCCTTAAACAAACAGTGAATCACCTGTGAAAAATTCCAGCTTTTTTGGTACAAATGAGGCTTTCTCTGTGGGATGACAACACAGATTTGCTCCTAAATATGGGAATACTCATTGAGATAAAAACCAAACTCTGACACTTAAAACACTGTTGGATTGAGTTATTCATATATCAGCACCGTTACAGAGGATTTTGAGTCAGAGTCCTACTCTGTGCAGTTTTCTTCCACCAAAACAGGGTCTGGAGTTGGAAAATTGTCTTTTTTTCCCCCCAATCCACAAACAGGAGTTTTATTAAAACAGAAAAGGCTGATATTTGACATTCATTAATTCCTTTTCCTCAATTTTCCAGGACAGAGACTAAGTCTGGTGGGCGACCTGAACGGTACGAGTGTCAAGAGCTACTCGGGTAAGTGTTTATTGCCAAGGCAACCTCATCCTAATGGCATTGAGAAGAACGCTTCTACAAGTATCGTATACTTCTCCTTGTCAGTTGTGATCACCTGGCCATTGTTGCCATCTGTCAGTAGCGAATACTTATCCATTTAGGGCCACCTGTAGGTTGTGACCACCTGTCACTTGTTGTCACCTGTCAGTGGTGAACACCTGTCTATTGTGGCCACCTGACCAGAACGACCTCTCTTCAGTTACCACCTGTGTGAAGTGGGCACCTGTCAGTAGTGACCAACTGTTCATTCAGGCCACCTACTGTATCAATTGTGACCTCTTGTCCATAAGTATCACCTTGCCGTTGTGATTGCTAGTTCCAATACTATAAATACTCATCTGCCATCAGTCTGTGATTTGTTGTTTGCCTTGTTTGTTTGTTGGTTTTTTTTCGTTTTTTTGTTTTTGTTTTGTTTTGGTGGTTTTTTTGAAAAAAAAAAAAAGAAATTAAAACACAAAACCCTTCATGTGTCAGCCAAGGCTGTTCATTTGGTCTTTGGAAAGAGATTTTTGTCTCCATTTCTTCCTTGATATCTTCAAATCTTCTTGACAAATATTCTTGACTCTTCCCAGGATTCCTGACGGTCAACAGAGATTACAATAGCAACATGTTCTTCTGGTTTTTCCCAGCCCAGGTAAGACAACCAAATTCTCGATCTTTAAACCCCCCCCCCCGATCTTTTAAATTACATGTATAAGCTGCAGCCAAGTAATTTGGCCAGGACCTCGTGTTCATCTGTGACATGGGAAGTCAGGTCTCCAGTCTCCCCCTACTGTAATTTTGATACTGCCTGGAAGAGAGGTACCCATTAGGAAATGAGGCTGTGTGCGACCTTTATGGCTGCGGCTGAAGATAGCACATGCGCTATGGGAGCTTGCTAACGGCCGTAGCCACTTCCCACAGATGTGAGTGTCATCCCCAGCTACAGCCTATAAGCCTTTTGCGAGTTAAATTTGAAGAAAAGCTGTCACACTGAGTTCTTTAAATTCACATGAACATAATGATTGAATTCTCCATATTAAAGACACTGTTGCTATACCTCGTGATTTGAGGCAAGCTTTTGCTTAGTTACATAAGAGATGCCTTGCACTAAGCACTGTTTTCAATGGATAAGAACGGCACAAAGGAACTAGTCAGAGAGTTAGTCGCTATGCAAAAGCTTGCCCCGAATCACGAGGTATAGCAACAGTGTCTTTAGTCTGGGGAATTCAAATCAATATACAATCTGATAACTCCGTGTTCCAGATGTTATTCCAACTTAACTCACAAAAAGGCTTACTGATTGGGACACGGCTTCAATAACAAAACCTGTCCTGCCTATGAGAGCATTGTGGAAATTTATTGTCATTAGGTGTTAACCACTTGCTGCCGGGGAGCCCGGTTTCAAGTAGGTTTTCTTTATACGCAAAGCCGGGCTGCCCGAAATCAGACAAAAGAGCTTGGTCTTGTAACAAAAGACCGTACTCGGAACAAAAGACTGAGCTGCTGGGAATTGCCAATATTTTTTCAGTTGTCAATAGTGGAGGAAATCCGTCATTGTTTTGAAAGATAATACCACTGTTTTTGGCATTCAGCACGAGCGGATTACCACCAGGGACAAAAGGGCTCCAGTGACGAGCGATACCATACTGCTGCACGCTAATCTGTCCCATATTGAAAGACACCAGCTGCGCACTGTGCCAGTTTCGGGAACAAGAGAAAATTACATAACACCGCACAATCTGGGCTCTTTTTACAAGGCGGCAGGTCTGGCTGAAATACTCTGGCGTCAGTAGATGTTGTCTGTTAGATTAGAGTAGCTACCAGACCGTCACTCCATGGGGTTTAGGCATTCAGAAAATAAAGAGTTATAATTTTTGAAGATTTTTGAAAACCAAAGATATTGAAAATCGCCCGGCAAGAGACACTGCATTTTCAAAAGGCACCTGGCAGCAATGGTTGAAGTAGTTGGAACAGCATAAACTCTAGACACAAAAGCCACGAGGAAAAAGGATGATCCTAGGCGCACGTAGGCAAGGCCTCCCAAGCTGCAACTTGATAAAGTGTATCAATTCAACTGAGCAGCAGGTTATTAATTTCGAATCTCTTGTCAAAACAAAGTGTACCATTGTCAATATGCCAAGCATCATTGGTTACTTCAATTTATAACGTACAGTTTCATCAGAAATTGTTTTGCACTATGAACCAGTGACAAAGGATTCGGGCATTATCAGGAACACAATCAGCTTTCAACGTTCTCAATGCCATTTGACGAGGTTGCCATTAGATATTCCATTGGAGCGAGACAGAGTGATGATGCCCAGGTTTTTCGCTGCGTTGCCTGTCTGTCCCTCTCTTTTTCTCTTTTCCTTATTGACGGTCTGACATTTCGCTCTGTGTTTGTCTAAAGAAAGGCCTGAATGTTTCCTTTGTGTGGAAGTAAATGGAAGGCCTAACGATAGTTTGTTATCTCAGTTTCCTCGCCCACCTAACCTGGCATCCAGACATCACAGCATCCATTTTACAAGTTTACTTCCTTGGCTGTACGTTTTGATCATGTGATCTTAGCCACCCTGGCTAAATAGCAAGGTTAAAGAGACGTTTAACAATGAAGTGGCAGATGTTGCCCGAGCAGCCCACTTCCCCCTCTCTCACTCCCCATCCCCACAATTCAAACCTCCTTTCCCACTGTGCTAGCCCCTACCCACCCAAGGCCAAACGTTGCCCTCTTTGGTGCCCATCGTACCCCTTCCTCTCTTACTGTACCAAACTTATTACCCCTCTCCAACTGTACAGCATCCACTCCCTCCCCCTTTCCAACCATTCCAGACCTTTACCCCCCCTCCCCAGAAACTGCCTGCGATGCCAACCTCCATCCTTCCTGCCCATGTCATTGTTTATTTCATTTATAGCAAGATGCAAGGAGTTTGATTTCTCTGATCAGGTCAACTGGCCTTCTCCCATCCTCACATCAAAGGTGACCACCCCAACCCCCCTCTTTTCCTGAAACTAACCTGACACTAAACTCCCCTCCCCTGGCCGCGGTAAGTTTATTGAGAGTTCCCTACTGTGCCCTTTGCTCACTGATTCTGTTGCATCATCCAGACATTGTTTTTTCAAATCCACTATCATTTGTGGAATAGTGCACTCACCATACCTCATACCTGTTTGCGAGGATCCGTGTACAAGTCAGATGCATAACATGCTAACTATTACTGACACCTTGGGACAGGTCAGTGGAGTTGTTCCCTGGGTGAAGTCGAACACTGTAATGCATCTGTAAGCATCACCCTAACTAACGGTAGCTACACATGAAAAGATGGCGATACATGTACACATAGGATACATTGATGAGCACTTGAAATGATGCATGAGTTTGTATGGTAAAACAAAGGTAACATCATGGATAGTCAATGTTAGCTCTTCTCAGAATTAGGAACTGACACTATGGTGCATGTAGTTCCCCCCCAGCTTCCCCCTCTGCAAATGGCTTGTCAACTTCCAACACCTCAGGGAGCTTTCATGTACAAATATCAAAAATGAACGAGAAGGCAAGAAAAATTAACGCAAATCATTTCCTCACGTTTTCCCACACAAATTCTGAGAGCCTTTATTCCAGAATCAATACGGGTGTTTCAAAATAGCGCATCTCCGAGAGTTCGCAACTCGTCGGTCGATCACAGTGCGCGAAATCTGTCGACCCAATGCGCATTTGGAAGGGGTGGACAGATTTTGGGCATTGTGATTGGCCAACGCGTTGCAAACTCTTTGAGGCGCGCCATTGTGAATCGCCCGTATTTCTACAAACCTGAAACCTCTGTACAGTGAACCCATTCTTCATTTGACCCACGGTTGAATGCAGCCCCTCAGGCCACGCTCCAACTGTCAAACTTTAAATACCGGTAACAGCCAGCCTTTTCAGCCGAATGCACATTTTGGAGCCACCTTCTTTGTTCGGACTGTGCCGCATATAATTTTTTTTCTCGCTGATTGCTCAGGATTGCTGGCGAAGTTTTGTAAATATTTGTCATTTGGCAGCAATGGCTACTGACAGCTGGAACCCTGTCGATATTCTTGTAAATAAACATTTACAAATACTACTATGAAGGAATGATTTGTGAAAATATTCCAATCTGCTCAAGTGAGACCAATAACTGAAATCATCCACCACACAATTTGTTCCACTCTGTAACTACAGCAAAACAGAAAATGGAATTACATCTACCACAGTAATTATAAATGCATGTAGAATATTTCAGTGTAGATCAAGTTGAGAAATGCAGTTGAAATGCAAGTAATGTGTGTGAACACTTTGTAAAACTTCATAATAAATTTAGGTTTCAACCAACACTTTTGTGTGCACACGCACAGGGAACGGTACTTAGGCATGGTACATTTTGGTATTCAAGAACTGAGATTCAAGCGTGCATTGGATGTACATACATGTACGTGTGCCAGGCACTAAATTTGCTCCATCCATTCACTTGTTGGGTTAAGACAAATTGTACCTGGTTTAACGTTTAACTGAGGAATTTCAAAAAAAAATGTCACTTTGTGAAAAGACGAATGCGCTGTGTGTGGACACACTCGGTACACTTTGAGAAACCCCAAATTATACTGCTCTGCAAATTTGGTACTCAAGCGGCTTGTGTACCAGCCGTCACTGGGTGCAGTCAGTGATGAATTGTAGATTACATTAGCACAACTTGCTGAACCATTGTGAAGATAATTCCTTTGCTGATACAGCACCAATGAATACACAGCTTAAATACTCGACATGTTACATTTATAATCACATTCTATAATGTTACTGTATATTTTCTATTTACATTTACATGTAACCCACTCTGGAAAAAGGTATATTATGTTGCAAAGATGAAGGAAAAAATAGAGTTACATGTACACTTGTGTGCGTTTTGCCCACATTGTAAGCTAAACTTTCAGTATCCCACTGTGGTCTGGAGATGTGACTTTTTTTTTCGTATTAATTAGATGGAGTTCAACTTAACGCAACTGGAAAACCAACTTTGAAAAGTCTACCGGTAATACAGACTTACCGTGGGCTGTGACATCTCACCTCAGATCTCCCTAGCAATCAACATATTCCTTTTGAACATGCTTATTCATAAAACCTGAAACTTTGGAGATCAAGGATCTTTAACAAAAGAGCCCCCCCCCAAAATTTAGAACACCGCAAGAAATTTCACCAACTCAACTTTGAATTTGCCGCTGCATGGAGAGGCATAGCATGACTTATATACCTTTTCCTAGAGTGGGAGACACGCGGAAACATGTATTTTTTCTTTTTAACCATGTAAACAGGTAAGAGATTCAGGGTAGACAAATTGCATTACACGTGACTCATTAGCGTTTTGGATGGGGGGTTAAGCTGATCATTTTTTTTTTTGTGGTCAGTTTGAGACATTTTGTGATGCATGTACTTTCAAATTACACTGAAAAATGTTTGGGTTCTGCATGTGCCTCCCATGCAAAGAAACTTGCCTTGCACTCTCTGCGTTCCATCATCATCATCACCTTGGGATGACTCAAAATATTGAGTTACAGTTACTGGTAAGTGTGGCGGCTAATGTGAGATAATGCCTCGTTAGGACCATCCTTTACTATTTACTTGATTAAGCTCTGCAAACCGAGTGT